AGCAGAACGAACCTTTGACGAGCAGTGTTGGAAGCCAAGGAAACTAGCTGACAATACAAATATCTGGACGCACGATTGGTCTCGGCCACTACTGTCCTGTGCAAACCGAACTGAACTGAACTGAACTATCCGATTACAACAGCTGAGTCTATATCCCCTAGATAGACGGCGTATCGAATGGATCTTTTACTTCTATATGACCTCTTCACGTCAGGCCAAGTGTACCGTTTCTTATCACGCTTAAGGGGATATCCAAAAAGAATTCGTCAGACACCGGCCCAAAACCTTCATTCGCTCCAACTTCTTCACGTACACGGTCATCTCATAATGGATCAAACTTCCACAAGAGATTGTGCACTCCTCGAAAAGAGTCTTCAAAACCCGGATAGACTCACACCTAGGGCTTACCATCCTTTGATCTACTTGACCTCCATCTGCTACAGGAAACCCCACATTATCCCGCTTATCCCTGTTACTACTCCTCCCACATTGTCGCTCTCCACTAGATTTTTTTTCCCGATGCATTCACCCTTAACCCAGCGGCACCATAATGGAGCCAGCTCCCTTTTCCGTCAACATTTATTTGAACTCGTGCGCCGAACTGCAAAAAAGAAGACAAATCCGGAACCGGGAATGTTGGGTGCAAGCCTCGATCCCGCGTACTACTTCTTCACTTCAACCTGTCGGTTTCGTTCCAAGTAAGTTTCGGTGGGGGTTCTGCAAAGGTGAGAGCGAAGACCCTCCTCTCTATCTACCTTACGCACTGCTTTTCTTTTCTCTTTTCCCTGACTGCTGGAAGAAGGATTGCATGGTTTGGTTGTGTCCTGCCTGTTTGGAACGGATTTTGTGATGGTTAGCATCAACGGAACACTGCGACGGGTAAGGCAACAAGTGCTTTTTGAACTGGGTTTATGCAGCATTGCCTATTGCTTACATATGAACACAGAAAAATACCTTTTACCAGTGGCACTTCTAACTCTCTCTCCTTCCAGAAAAGAATCAGATACAGACTAACAGACAACTACTACGAATGCCTCCATCCGTCACCGAGCAGTATACCTACCACCAGAACCCGGACTACTCGGAAACTTCGGTTCTTAAGCCCGTTCTTAAGCACCGGTTTTCCAGTCACAGTCTGAAACTGTGGTACACTAATGTTTGCAGCACTGGAAACAAATGGGTTGAGCTAGGGATTAGGAGCCAGGATTGCGATATTGTGATTCTTACTGAAACATGGTTATCCAAAACCATATCAGTTGAACGATTAGCCCCTCCGAACTTCACTCACTATCGAACTGATAGGGAGGTTGATCGAGGGGGCGGGGTCCTGCTGCTAGTTCGTCGGCAATATATCCAATGGGAAATACCTGAGCTAACACTGTACACCAACAGTGCAAGCTACAGGCTGCATTGTAAGAAATACAGGCCCACACTTCTACATCTTAGGTGTCTACAGATCACCAAGCGCTAGACCGGAGGATCATAATGCTCTACTAAATATCATTGCCGCAGTGGGGGATTTCAATCTACCTGGAATAGAATGGGAGTATGAAGACGAGGGAGATGGGCAAGCAGAACGTGAATTCATGGACTGCTTCCATGCGGCATCGCT